ATTAAATAACAATAAAAATAATAATCGAATATTAATAATCGATAAATAAGTAATTAAATAAATAAATAAAAAATTCTGAAATTTTCCAATTCATTTCTACTTGCGATCGAAAAACGAAACGTAAAGTTCAAGGATTATAAATCGATGGCAAACGATTAATTAATTTAATTATTACTTTTGGAGAATCATCAAATGAGGAAAAATCTCGTTACGAAACGAAACGAAACGAATCTTTGTAACGAATTTTCTAAAAAATTCTTATACTCTTCGTGTTTATCCGAATAATAATAATAATATAAACAACAACAACAACAACAACAATAACAACAACAACGACAATAACAATAACAACAACGAAAGAATATTATCACGGTTAAAAAAAATTCTTCGATAACGACAAAAAAAAAAAAAATTTAACTCGTACGTAATCAATCTTTTTTTTCTCCGTTCACTTTATTAACCTCTTTGGCAATAAATCAAACTATCGATCGATCGATCGATTCATCCATCAATCAATCAATCAATCAATCATTTCAATCATATAATTTTTTGATAAACGTTTCACCGTTAAAAGATAAAGAGAAAATAGAAGTAAAGAAAGAAAATTCGAAGTTACGTAAACGCAATCATTTTTATTTTCTAACAATCATCTACGACTAATTAAAACGGTTTAAATGCGGCTAAATATCCCCTAAAATTGACAACAAATAAATAACGAATTGATAATAATAATGATAATGATAATGATAATAATAACAACGACAACGAAAATGATAAAAATAAATAATAATCGTCAAAGTTCCTTCGCAAAATTCTTTTTCCAATTATTACTTTTTTTTTTGTTTTTATTCCTCTTCCTTTTCCTCTTTCTCTTCCTCTTCTTCTTCTTCTTCCTTTGGAAAAACGAATAGAAAAAAAAAGCAATTTTTAAAATTGATCCGGTCAGAAAATTCGTAATAAGAAATAGAAAATCCGACAACGTCTTTGTCGGAATATTGACATCAACTTCGAATGAAAAAGTTATCAAATAATTTTTAAACGAAAAAAAAAAAAACAAAAAACTCGAGTTCCAGACATTCGTTCCTATATTTCCAGTCGACTTTAATTATAGCCTTCTGGAAATTTCTACGTCACGCGGATGAGTTACACTCTATAATTAAACCGGACAAAACCTGAAGAATTTTGTCGCGTTCGATCGAACGAACAAACGAACGAAGGACGAGAAACGATATCATCTTCCGTATTTTTTTCGATCGATTTCCCTTTTCGTCCACCGACAAAGAGTACCTGCCCCCACCACCACCACCTTCATCACTTATCAATTCTCAATCTCCCCACAATTTAAAAAAGGACTCGGAATAATCATGAAATTTCGCACAAAAAAAAAAAATCATCCGGGGAAAGAAATAATCGATTTCCTTTTAAAACGTTCAAATAAATCTCATCTAACGTTTTTAAATACGCGAGGGGGGGATTAACGTTAATCCGTTTAATAATTTTCTTAACTTTAATCCACGTTAATCGGAATTTTAATTCCGTCTAACGACAACATACAAAGTTTATAACGTCGTTAACAAACGTTGATTTCTTTTTTTTTTTTTCTTTCTTTTGGGGGAGGAAGGAGTGTGGGGGGACGATTTAAAAATATAATTTTCAAAAAGAGGTTTTCCCATTCCCTCCCTCCCCTTCCCCCTTTTTTTTAACGATTCATTCAATTGCAAATGTTAAAATTTAATATTACAAAGAAAACAAACGAGAACTCGAATCGTTTTACCGGAAACAAAGCAAAAAAAAAAAAAAACCATTCAAAGAATGACGTAACAAAAAAAAAAAAAAAAACAATTCGAGAGGTTGATTCCATTGTTTTTTTTACCTTTCCTTTCCTTTTTCTACAAAAAATCAATTTTCAATAATAATAATAATGTAAAACTCAAATCTTAAAAACCTTTCTCTCTCATTTTCTCTCTTTCAAGAGATTTTCTTTTGGCAAACATAAAAAGAAAAAAAAAACAATTTAAAACAACTCATTACCGGAAACGAAACGAAACGAAGAAGGAAATAAATAATAATAATAATAATGATAATAATAATAATAATAATAATAATAATAATCGACTTTTTGTTTCCTTCCTTCCTTCTTTCCTTTCTTTATTTTTTGAGTTTTCTTATTTATACTCGAAAAAAAAAAAATAAATCATTTCGAAAAATAAATAATAATTTTTTTTTTTTTATTTAATCGATATTGTAAAGTTAAAACCTGTTGCGTAAAAATAAAGTTTCCCTCCCCCCCTCTCTCTCTCTCTTTCTCTCTTTTTAGGAGAGCAAGGGGATCGATCGATCGTTTGAGGTCGCCATCATAACCGAAATAATCAAAAAAGGATGAGATTCGAATCGGAATCGAAGCAAAAAAAAAAAATGGAATGAATACGAGCGCGTTATAAATCATTACGAAAACAAAACGAAAGCAAAATATAAAAAGAGCAAAATCCGAATGAGAGCAAAAAAAACCCACATTAAACCCATTTAAATAAAAATAAGGAAGGAGGTAATTTGGATTTGTTTGGGAAAGGGACGGAAGGGGGAGGGGATAAGAGATTCAAATCGAGGGTAATAAGAAAATAAATAAAAAAAAAGTGGAAAAAGAAAAAAGTAGTCGAAGATAGTGAATAATAATAATAATAAACTCATTTACGTACGTTTAAAAAAAAAAAAACTTAAAAATCTCATCGAACGTCGTGTTTAACCCGAAAAAATGATGGGGAGGGGAGGGAGTAAGAGAGGGAGAGGAGGGGAATAAGAGAAAGTAAAAATCGGATTTTCGGATTTAACCTTTTTAAAAATGAACTTTTCTTTTTTTTTTGTATGTTTTTTACTTTCAGTAAGTAAGTAAGTAAGTAAGTAAAAGAGTTTTCCCCCCCCACTCTCACACACACACATAGACTTTTCTTTCGTTTCTTTTTCCTTCTCTCTCCGCCTCCCCCCGAAAAGAAAAAAAAGTTTACGAAATCGAATCAAAAAGTTTATTTCGCCGCAAAAAAAGAAAACAAATTTAATTTTTTTTTTTTTTCTCGTAACATTTTTAAACTTTAAAAAGAATTTTCTATAAAAAAAAAAAATTTTTAAAGATCCAAAATTTAAATTTGCTTTCCTTTCCCCGTTTCCCTTCCCCCTTTTCCACTCCCCTCCCCCTTCCCCCACAAAAAAAGAAAAAGAAATTTCAAGAAAAAGAAAAAAAAAAATTTTTTTTTAAACGGACACCTGCCAATATATTCTTTTTGAACAAACGTTCAGGTATCGAACAAACGCAAGAAAAATCGATCCGATCATTTTAAGAGTTTCAAAAATTTATGACGTCATTAAAAAAATAAATAATAATAATAATAATGATGATGATGATGATAAAGTATATTATTTAATTTAAAATTAAAAAATCTTAGTAAAAAAAAAAATTATTTAAAATAAAAAACAACCCTCTGTCGGGATTTAAACCAGTCGAGATTAAATAATGATGATAATAACGACGACGTCGACGATGATGATAATGATAATAATATTAATATTAATAATAATAACAATAAAGAACGAAAGGATTATTAAAAAAAAAAAACTCATTGTAATAATAATAATGAACGTATGAAAAAAGAAAAAAAAAGGAAAAAATTTTTAATTTCTTTTCTATTATAATAATAATAATAAATTAATAGGAGGAAATTAAAATTTTAATGCGAAAAGTGTGAAAACTTTTCTTCTTTTTTTTTTTTTTTACAGCGAAAAGTTTTGAAACAAAAAGAAAAAAAAACGCGAATAAAAAAAAAAAATTTCTTTCTGTTCCCTCCAAAATTAAAAAATAAATGAATAAAATAAAATAAATATGTAATGTATATATAACAAAAATTCGTGACGAGAAAAATAAAAAACGAGTTTTCCGTTTGTTTGTTTGTTTGCTTGTTCGTTCGTTTGTTTTTCCTTTCGAAAACGTATCCATACGAAAACAATTTATTAAACCGCCGCATTTGTAAAAAAACGGGAAAACGTCGAAAAGTTAATTTTTTTTTGAGGGGGCTTTGCTTGTCTCCTCACTCCTCGCCGTTTTTAAAAAAAAAAAAAAATGATGATGATGATAATAATAGTAAATCAAGAGCGTCGAGGTCCTTTTTTTTTTAATTTGGGGAGACGCTAAAATTTATTCTCGCGTGTCTTCATTTTCGTTTGTTATTTAAAAAAAAAAAAAGAATCGAAATAAATTTATTATCGGTTTCGTTTATTGTTATACCATCGGAGTCAATTTTTATAAATTTTTCATTTCAAATCAATCAATCAATAACCTGAGAGTCTTCCCTTTTTATTACACCCCCACCACCACCACCCCCGCTCGCCCGTCCGCCCGTCCGTCCGTCTGTCTCTATATTTATAATCTTCTCCCCGGAATATTTTTTTTTTTTTTTGAAATTACAAAAACGTCGTTTGCATTTGTTGAAAATCATTTCCCTCATTTTTTTCCTAGCTGACTGCCCCTCCCCTCCCCTCCACTCACCTCCCAGATTTTCCGCAAATCTCTACCCGGAAAATAAAATAAAAAAAAAATTTAAATGAAATTTTGATTTAAAAATAATTATCATAAAAAAACAAACGAAAGAAAACTATGATTAATCGCACTCGCCATTTTTTTTTCTTTCCTTTCTCCAGGAAAAAGTCATTATTATTAGTTCGATGATTCCAGATGATGACTTTTTCATTGCCCCGTTAAACCGTACTTTTCGTACCTTTTGCGATTTATCCCCCCCCTCCCCCAATCTCTTTCGTTTTAAGGAAAAAAAAAAAAAAATTCAGATATTACGAAATTCATTTTAACCCGAGATGGGAGGAAGGGGAGAAAGGAAAAACGCTGGAACCATTTTCATTCTGGAAATTTTCCTTTTTTTTCATGCACGCATTTCGTCATAGCGCACATTTTCGAATCCTAATTTAAATAATAATAATAATAATGAGAAACTTCTTACCTCGTGCAGATAATTTTTTTGTATTGATGATCTTGGCCGCGAATTCGAGTCCGGTAGATTTCTGAACGCACCTCCGAACAACTGAAAAGGCCCCTCTGAAAAAATTAATAAAAAAAAAATTCCATGTAATTCAATTCGAAAAAAAAAGGAAAGTCGACAAAGGAAAAAAAAAAAAAAATTAAAAATGTCCGCCACAATTGATCGTTCGTTACCACTCACACACACACACGCCTTCGTTTATTCCTTTGGTAATATCATCAATTTTTACCTGTGACGTCACTAGAGTAAAAAAAAAAAAATCATCACCGCCTTGTAATGTAATTTTCCCTACAATTTTTATTTTTTTATTTTTCTTACGTTGGCACACTGGGTTTTGTTTGACCCACCCACTTCCGTTTTTCCCACCTCCCATCTCTCCTTCCTCTTCCCATTCATTTCGCCCCTCCTTTTTTTCCAACCGAGTTTTTTATTTTTTTTCCCCCTCCTCCCTCCCTCCCTTCCCTCATAATTTTTCCATCATCATCTTTTTTTTCCATCATTTATTCATCTCCCGTTACTTTTCCAAGGTCGTTTTAATTATTTTTTATTTTTATTTTTTATGTACGTCGCCATATTCCACACACACACACACACGTATATATATATTATTATTTTTTTATTATTTATTTATCCGCCATCTTTTTTTTCGTCATTACTCGAATTATGAAAAGTAAATTTGAAATGTCATTTTTTTTTATAACCTAATTTTCTTCGTTTATTCTAGAGAGAGAGAGAGAGAAAGAAAAAAAAATTTTTTTTACACGTGCGTTAAAATCCCTTCGAAACCGATCGAACGGAATCGTTTAATTTAACTTCCATTACCAACGAAAATAATAATAATGATGATGATGATAATAATAATAAATTATAAACGAATATAAAAAGAATATCGATTCGTTTTTTTTTTTTTTTTTTGAAAAAGAAGAAGCAAAAGGTTAAAGTTAAAAAAAAAAAAGGAAGAAGATTTAGTTCAAGGCAAAAAATCTCTCCCCATCCTCTCCCCCTTACTCTCCCCATTCCTTTTTACTCGGTTAAACGTCGATGAAACATCTGCATAATATAAAGTTGAGAAAATTATTATTATTATTATTATTATTATTTCGACAAATTTATATAATTAATGCAGGTAAAACGTGTCAGAAGAAAATGAAAGTTTAAAAATCATTTTTTTTGAATAAAATGATGATGATGATGATTATTATTTTTTTTGCAAATTTGCGACATTTGGTTTCGTTTTGCGTCACTCAGTCGTAGTTTTCAAACAGATGAATATGATATTATTATTATTATTATTATTATTATTATCATCATTATTATTAAATGAAACTGAAGATTAATCAACGACGATTTTCAAAATTTTCCAGATTCGATAATTCGAAATAATTACAAAATCTTTTCCTTAATATATATATATATATATATATATATATATATATATATATATATATATATATATATATATATATATATATATATATATATATATATATATATATATAAAATTTCCTTCCGTAGAAGAGCAAACGTTAAATTTTCACCACAACCCCCACCTCACCCCCCAACTTAGTTTTCCTCGCTTTTCCGTTTTTCTTCACCCCGACTTCCTTCTTTCCTTCCTTCCTTTCTATATTTCTATTGACGCTCCTTCGAGTGATTCCTTTTGAGCCGGAAAAATACAAAAAAAAAAAAATGTAAAAATTCATCCTTATTTTCCTCCTCCTTCTCCTCCTACCCCCCCAATTTTTTTATTAATTTAAATCGATTACGACCCACAAAAACGGTTAATAATCCTTCAAATAATAAATTCCCTTTAATAATAATAATAATAATAATGATAATGATCGTGGTAAAACCGCCATTACCGCATTTTTAACAAAATTCCATTAACGAACCTTCTCCTTCTCCTTTTTTTTTTTTGTTGGAGAGGGAGGGGTGGAAAATCTCAAATGCGGCATCAACCATTCGGGTTCGATACATCGAACGAGTATTTATTAATAATAAAATTCTCGAAAATTCTTTTTTTTTTTTTTTTTTTCAAGTTAGTTTACTTCGACCTTACTCTTTCCCGAAATAAGGGAGCTTTGACCCAATTTTTTTTTTTTTTTTAATTTTCCGGGATTTTCTTTCTTTCTTTTTCTTCTGGTTTTCTCCTTTTCTTTTTTTTTTTAATGCCGCCATTATTAAAAAGTTTTAATGATTTCGATAAAATTTTTTTTTACATATAAATTAACTTCAAAAAAAAATTAATAATAATAATATCGATACAGATTTTTTCTTTTCTACCTTTTACTACTACTACAACCACCACCACCACCACCACTACCACCACCCTCCTCATTTTTTTCGTTTCCCTCTTCCGAATCACGAATCGAAAAGTGATAGAGAGAGAGTACTTCCTCCTGGAAAATCTGGAGGAAAATTCTAAATAAAAATAAAAATTTTAAATCGATAGAGAGGACTACACGAATTTCTAAAAGAGATACCAATGCGTGTATCACCCCACCCCTTCCCTCCCCCCTAAGAAAATCCAGACGAAATTCAAAATAAATAAAAAAAATTCTTGCACAGTACCGTATTAAGATTTTTTCAAAAGTTCTTCGGTTAAAATTAAAAAAATAAAAAAAATCATTTTGTTCTCTTCGAAGTTCGTTCAAAAAATTTATTCGAATTTTTTTTTTTTAATGGGGGGAAAGGGGAGGAGCTCACGTCCCTCGAGGTGATAAAAACTTTGTCCAATTAAACTAAAAATCACGTCTCCATCACACATTTTTTATTACGAAAGAGAGTTTAAAAAAAAAAAAATTCCATTAAAAATTATTATTAAAATTTTTATTTTATCATCATCATCATCATCGTTATTATTATTTTGATCGAATGAATGACTGAATGAAACTTTTATTTACGGATAATTTTATTAAAACGAAAAGAAAAAAAAAAAATTCTTTCTCCAACGAATTCGAATCGATTTTTGTACCTGTTTTGGATGAATTTAAAAATAAATTTTGATAGATGGATGATGAAAGTTTTTTTTTTTTTATATATTGACAAAATAATAACTTTACCTTCCATCGATCTTTAAAACTACTCTCCCCCCTCTCTCTCACTCTCTTTCCCTCTCTCTCTCTCTCTCTCTCTTTCTCATATTTTAAATTTGACATATAGTAATAAAAAGGTAAATTTTATTTTAAGTCTTGACCAACCTACTTATGCATCGATCGATCGATCGATTTACGTACTAGATCGAAGTTTAAAATAGTTAATGGAAATTTTTCAAAACCAGTGAATTTTATTATCACGTGGGAGACAAATGAGAGAGAGAGAGAGAGACAGAAAAGGCACGAACAGAGAGAAACGAATAAAATTTGAAATTTAAAAAAAAAAAAAAAAAAATGTGATTCAGGACGAAATTTTTTTTTGAAATTAAATAATCATTTAAAAATTAATTAATCGATGATATTTTACATAAATTTCGGGAAGAATAAGAAGTAGAAAAAGAAGAGAAAATGACGAGTGAGGTGAGAAAGAAAAAAAACGAAGAGAAAGAGAGAAAAACTAAAAAAGTAATATACAAAAAAAAAAGGGAAAATAAAAAAGTGGAAAAAAGAGAAGCAGAAATAAATCCGGAAAAAAAAACAGAAAGAGAGAAAAGGAGAGAAGGATAAACAGAGACAAAAAGAAAAATAAAAAAAGAGACACGAGAAGGGATAAACGCAAAGAAAAATAACAGAAAGAAAGAGAGAGAGTGGGATACATAAAACAATAAAGAGAAACAATGAGAAAAAAAGATTTAAAAAAGAATGAGAGAGAGAGAGAGATAAAAATAAAGAGAAACAAAGAGAGAAAGAAATATAAAAAAGAATGAGAGAGAAAGAGGGATGAAAAAATAAAGAGAGAGATAAAGGAAGAGAAGAAAAAAAGAGAATCAAATTGTGTGAAAGAGAGATATAAAAAAAGCAAGAGAAATAAAGAAAAAAAGAAAAAGAATGAGAGAGAGAGAAGAAGAGAGCGATAAAAAAATAAAGAGAACAAAGAGAAACAGAAAAAGAGAGAGGGATATACAAAAAAAATAGAAACAGAGAGAGAGAAAGAGAAAAAAAAAGAGAAACAAATTGTTTGAGAGAATTATCAAAAAAAAAAGAGATGCAAAGAGTCAGAGAAAGAGAAAAACATAAAAAAAGAAATAGAAACAAAGAGAGAGAGAGAGAAAGAGAAAGAAAATTTTTGTCAAAATAATTATGTCACCTACATTTACAAAAAAAAAAAAAAAAATTCAAAAGCGGAGCCAAAAAAAAAATTTTTTTTTTTTTTTTTTCAAACTAAAAAAATCTTTTAAAATTCGATTTCCTTGATTACAAATTGATATGTTATCAGTAGCGTAAAACGTAATAATAATAATAATAATAATAATTTTTACACAAACAAACCACAAAAACTGATAAAACCCATAATAAAAAAAAATCTTTGTCGTCTTTATAAAACTGGATTTCAGTTACGAGAAAAACGAAAACTTTTTTTTTTTAATTTTTCCCCTTCTCCCAAATCTCCCACAATATCTTACCCCCACAACCTCTCAATATCCGCCCCCCCACACATCTCCTTTAACTATTAAAAAAAAAAAAACGTATTAAATTTTAAGTTTGATTGTTTTGTTTTGTTTTTCTCATTCGATAAGCAACACAACCGGTAGCCGATAATTACATTTCACTGATAACAAACATTGATTAAAACAACAACAACATTTTATGTTTTTCTTTTTGAATTATGTGAAAACTGTAAAAAAAAAAATAACGAGAAATTGATAAGCAGAAGACGAATGAAAATATTATTAAAATAATTCCCACATGACATTCAAACAAACCCCCATTTACAAAATCAATCAATCAATTGATAAAAGTTCAATGAACCCACGTGTGATAACAATTAAATCGAAATTTTAAATTTTCATCTTTTCTTCTCACCGTGATGTTATTTAGTGGGAGGGGGAAAAGGGAAACATACGTGTTGTTATCGAAAACACATACGTCACACTTTGAAAAACGATTTCGGGAAACCTAAAGTGCGGGCAGGGAGGGGCGGAGAGTGAAGGTAGAGGAGAGGAGAGGGGGAAAGAGCAAAAAAAAAAAGAAAAATTAAAAATTAATTTCACGTTTCGTAAAATCTTTCATATAACGTAATTAAATCGTAACGATTTGTTACCCATTATGGCGTCGAACGCGATAATGATGATTACGGTAATAATGATGATGATGATGATGATGATGATGATGATGATGATGATGATGGCAGTGAATTCAGATTATTTGATTATGGCAGAAAAATTTTTTTCTTTTTTTTTTAATATTCCGAAGCCATTTTTTTTTTTTTGTTTCCTCCAATTTTTCGTGACGTATGCAATACGTCGAATAATCCTACGACGAGTAAATATTTACTCGAGTTTGATAATGATAATAACAACAACAATAATAATAATGATAATAAACGAAAATAAAAAAAAAAGAAGGAGGAAACACTTCGTGCGTAAAAGAGAGAGAGAGAAAGAGACTTTTATATCCTTATAACGAGAAGATAATGAAATTACCAAAGAATTTATTCCATAAGAAAAACCTCATAATAATAATAATAATAATAATAATAATAATAATAATAACGTAAGTCGAAAACGGTACGAAATTGTCATAACAACAACATCAACATCATCGAAATTAATCATTCACTCGTGTAATTTAATTTAATAATACTCGAAAACCTCGTTTTTTTTTTTCGTTTCTCCCAAAACCCGCGTATTTCGTACAAATTCATGCTTGCCAACCTACTTAAAAATAAATAAAATAAAATTTCCCCGCTTTTTCAGAATGTGTGGCCTTAAAAAAAAAAACGCAGAATGAGAGAGAAAACGATCGTTTTTTTCGTTAAATTTTTTTTTTCCTTTTGCTTTTTTTCGTTTTTTCTCCTTTTTCTCCGGTTTTGCACCTGAGATTTTATATTTTTTAAAGTGTTTGTTTGTCGCTTGAGAGAAAAACTCGAACAAACACACGAACGAACACGGACGGTTTAAGACAAAAAAAAAAAATTCTCACGAGATCGAAAACGAAAAAAAAAAAAAACATGGACGATAGTTTTAGTTTTCTACCTTATTTATTTGTTTCCAACAAAAAAAAGAAAAAACTTTTAGAAAACTTTTCCTTTTTTTAACGCCACGAGAGATTTCCTTGCATCGGCAATACTTTTTTGTTTTTTTATTTCCTTCCTACCCCTCCTCTACTTCCACCCGCCCCGCTGTTGTTTCTTACCAGATGCATCTTACTTTTGTGAGATGAAAATTTTTTGTTTTTTTTTTTTGTATTTTTTTTTTTCCGATTTCCACGTTCGAAATACGAAACGAAACGAACAAACGGATCATTTGTTTTTCGAAAAAGTCAAATTTTTTTATGTTTGTTGTTGTTGTCCATAATGAAAAAGAAACAAACAAAAATATTGATCGTGAGTTTGTCGTTAATTATTTGTGACGATATTTGGCAATCTACAAACAAAAAACAATCGAACGCGGTTTAATATTTTTTTTTTTGTACAAAAAAACTCGTGGAATTAGAAAATCTTTTTTTTTTATTACAAGAATAAATATTTGACTCCTGACACGATCGTTATTTCTCCTCCCATTGTCGCAAATTAAAAAAAAAACAAAAAATTCTACCTTTTTTATTTTTTTAATTTTTTTCTTATTTTATTTCTTTCCGAACGACAGGAACTTTTGCTTTTCCTTTTTTTCTTTTTCCTTCCTCCTTTCCCTCTTTCTCTCTCTCTCTCTTTTGAAAAATTTTCTTTTAAATCAAATGATAATCCAAAACCGAAAGAATACGACAAAAGAAAAATCGAATGATTTTTCTCTTATAAAAAATAATAACAATCGAAACAACCGAATTAACTTCTTCTTTTTCTTTTTATTATTATTATTATTATTACATTTTAAGTAAAAAGAGAGATGTATAAAGAAAGAGAGAGAGAGAGGAATTCTTTTAAACAAAAAATAAGAATATATATATTAGTATAAGGAGAAGAAGAAAGAAAAAAAAAGCTTTAAAGAAAAAAAAAAATTAATCTTTAAATATTTTTTTCAAGTCGAGAACAACAGGAGAAGCAGAAGAATTTTCTAGAAAGAAAGAAAGAAAGAGAGAGAGAGAGAGAGAGTGAAGCACATAAAAGAAATTTGAAAAAAGAATTTTCTTCTTTTTTCATTTTATTTTTCATTTTTTTTTTTCCTTTCGTTCGACAGATTAAAAAAAAATTCCGAAACGGAATCAAAATGGCGGACACGAATATTACCATCTTTTAATACATGTTTGCCATCGAATTATCGTAAAAATTTATTCTGACCCCTCGATAATAAAAAAAAAAAAAAAATTATAAACAAAATGGCAGCGAAGGAACCGCAAGAACGTGATTCCTCTTATTTTAAATTTTCTTTTCGTGTGAAATTTAGGGAGGGGGCCATTTTGTTTTTAGTTACAAAAAAAAAAAAAGATGGAGGTCATCACGCCTTTTTTTTTAAAGCTTATTTCCGTTTCCGTTTCTGAAACGAACAAAACATTTCTTTCTTTTTTTTTTCGAATCGTTTACAATCGTCCGAAAATTATTATTATTATTATTATTATTGTCACGAACAAAGAGCGGATACGAGAGGAAAACTTCCGGAAACGTTATTACAAAAAAAACCCGCGAAATATTTTTTTTAAAAAAAATATTAAAACTCATTTCCATCATCTTTTAAAAAAAAATTTCCCCGTTTTAAAACTTTTATTATTATCATTATTAATATTATGTAAAAACCTTTTTTTTTTGAAAGGATCATCTTTTGTAAGAACAAAAACAACATCAACTTATTTCTATTAAAACAACCAGAAAAACGAAAAAGGAAATTAAAAAAAAAAAAAAAAAAAAAAAAAAAAAAAAAATGGGACGGGAAAGAGGGGGAAATGGTGGAGGGAAGAAATGAAAAACGGTTACGTTTAAAAAACAAAAAGGAAAAAAATATTACACCCCCCCGCTATCATCCCCTCACAACATCACCGCTCCAGTTTCCTTTTTCCAGGACTCGACAACGCTTTTCACATCCCGACGAAACAATTTCGTCCCTTTTAAAAAAAAAAATAATGATGATGATGATGATAATCGAAATATTTAATAACGAAAATTAAAATTTACTTTCGTAATTAAAAATAACAATAATAATAATAATAATGATTATTTATTTATTTTTTTTTTCATGTCTCCCCTACAGTCATCACTCACAAAACATACCGCATCATTACTTCCCTTCATCTCCCACCTCTTGCTTGGATAGGAAAAAAGAGACAGACGGAAAGAGAGAAAGAGAGAGAGGGAAAATGAAGCCCGGGGACATTTCCTCCTCTTCCCCCCTCACCCCCCAAAAAAAACAGGAAAGGGATAAAAAAAATGACGTATATAAAAAAAAAAAAACCAAAAATCTAATTAGAAATTATTATTTGAATTTTTTTTTTTTACATACATCCTCTAATAAAAGAGTCGCTCGCATTTTTCCTTTCCCCCCTCCTCTCTCCACTCCCCAGGCCCCCCCGTGTTTTTATCTTTTTTTTTTCTTTCTGAACAACTTAAACAAACAACAACTCATTCAATTCGTTATTTTACTCATTAAAACATAATTTACAAAAGACAATTTTTTTTTTTAAGACAAAAATTTCGTTTTTTTTCTTTCTCCCCTTACTGGCACGTTTTTCTTCGTCCACGTTTTTTTCTTTCTTTTCTCTACAACCACGTTTTTCTTTTTCCCTCACGTTTTTTTTTTCTTTCTCAACTTGAGAGAGACAAAAAAAAAAAACTTTTCATTACGACTTTCCCCATTTTCTCTTTCATTTTTTTTTTGCAATCGAAAACCTTCCAGAATATTCGAACCGTTCGAAGAAAAAATGATG